GCCTCCCCAGTTACCTGAGGTGGACACTCTTGGTGTACCCCTTTATGGGCTGTGTGCACAATCTTGTTGTAGTTAAGCCTGATTACTGTTGGTATCACTAGGAGGAATTCAATTGGCTGTGAGGATCTGTCTATGCTGGGAGAATTTCTGTGCTGGAGACATCCTTATGAGATAAGACTTGCAAAAGCCTCTGTGCTCAGGGTGGATGAGGTGGAATCTCAGGGCGGAGCAGACAGCAATGGCTTCCCATCAGTTCCGCCCTAAGAGGCCCCTGGGTCTCAGTGTCCCATGGTAATCTCTGAAAGCACCTTTGAGAGAAAGCTGCCCTTGAGTTTCGCCTGCTGCCAGACAGTCCAGTTTTCCCCCAAATGAGTCTGGGTCCCCAGAGTCTCACCCGGAACTGGAGTTCAGAGCAGTCGGGAGCTTTTGTCTCCCTCTCGATTGGGAAAGCCAGCTGCATTCTCAGTTGCCAGCCCTCTCTGCGCTCACGCCTTCATATCTCTGCCTTCCGCAGGTCCTCTGAGTCTCAGTGTGCTTTTCTCTTTCCTTCTAGTTGTAGAATTTCCACTCAGCCAGCCTTCCTGTGGTTCTGGATGATGTCCATTTTGTCTGTTAGTTGTAGTTTTGAAATAATTGTGCGAGGCAGCAGTTTAGGTGTTTACCTATGCCGCCATCTTGGTTTCTCTCCGTTTATCAGTTTTTTAAATATAATTTTATTGATTTCAGAGAGGAAGGAAGAGATAGAGAAACATTAATGGTGAGAATCATTGGTTGGCTGCCTTCTGCATGCCCCACACTGAGAATGGAGCCCACAACCTGGGCATGTGTCCTGACCAGAAAGTGAACCATGACCTCCTGGTTCATAGGTTGACATTCAACCACTGAGCCAGTCCAGCCAGGCTACCAGTTTTTTCAGAGAAGTGATAAAGGATACAGATGAATACGAGGATGAGGTCTGGCAGGGTCCAGAGCACAGGAGCTTCTGTGCCCGTGGAGTTAGGGTGCATCACTTTCCAGGGTGGATGTGTCCACCGACCTGTCAGCTCTGAATATATGCAGGCTCCCTCATGTAGGCATGATCAAGATTAACTCCTTTCTGGAGAAGTGGTGGCAGGGCTGAAAATCCCAAGCTCTGATCCTGGCTGTCTTTCTGTTGACCAGGGCCCCAGCCAGGAGCCAACCAGGGGCCCACCCAGGGTCACCTCACTAGAACAACAGAGGCTCCTAGCTCTTTTCACTTACCAACTCACGGGGTCAGAGCCAAGGCCAATATATATATGTATTACCTCGGTACTCTTGGGAGGTGGGCTCTCTCCTCGTTACTGGATCTTCCTTCCTTCCTTCCTTCCTTCCTTCCTTCCTTCCTTCCTTCCTTCCTTCCTTCCTTTCTTTCTTAATCAATCTTTATTGTTCATATCATTACAAAGGTTCCTCATTTCTTCCCCCCCCCCACCAGGTTCCCACCCCACTCTCCACCCCCTCCCCACTCCCCCATTGTCCTCATCCATAGGTGCATAGTTTATGTTCAGTCTCTTCCTCCCCCCCCCCCCCCAGAACAGTCAGTCCACTCCCCTCCCATATCGCCGACTCTACTACAGTGAACTGCTATTATTGTTCATAAGGTTTTTCAATCTCCTTTTTTTCTTGTTGTTTTGTTTTTTTTAATTAATAAACTTTTACACTTCTAAGAATAAATTTTAAAATCTAATAATTTTAAACCTTGTTTTTTTTCTGCCCTGGGAATTGAGAACAAACTTGTTTACATGTAAACTTGCCCTTAGGCTTAGGCTATCAAAAGGTGTAGCCATTCAAGTGTAAATGGACACATTGTTTAAACATAGCTGCTGGCTGGAATTGGATTACCTGTTCTGGGTAGGAAGGGCTTGTCATTCCCTTTCTCCATTAAAATTGAGGTGTTAGCTTTAAAACCTCTTTTTGGCAAGAGATCTTAAACTTTCAGAACTTTAAATTTTTCAGATAGTAAATCAGTTACTTAGCATTTTCTCAAATCAATAATACCTCCACATGCCCAAGGATACACTTCACACAAAAGACATTTACAAATAGATCAACCAACCTCATCCAGGCCCCACACAAGGCACTCACAGATCAAAACCCCAGCGTTATACTAACTCAACACATCCAGATCTAAGCCTTCCTCACGTGATTCAGCAGACCCTCAAGTTCCCCAAAAGTTTCCAGCCATGTCTGAGAGGCAGCCTTGGGGCGGAGGCAGGCAAGGAGCGAGCTGTTCCGGGCCTGGCTGCTCCGGGCCTGGCCTCTGTTGCTCTGGTCCGTTCCACAACCAGCTGCTCCGGGTTTGGCCACTGCCGCTCCCGACCTGGCTGCTCTGGGCGTGGCTGCTGCTGCTTCGGGCCTGGCCGCACCCGACCCGGCCGCTCTGGGCCTGGCTGCTCCGGGCCCGGCCTCTCCGGGCCTGGCCGCTCCCGACCTGGCTGCTCCAAGCATGGTTGCTGCTGCTCTGTGCCTGGCTGCTCCCAACCCGGCTGCTCTGGGCCCGGCTTCGCCTGGCCTGGCCATTCCAGGCCTGGGTGTTCCTGGACTGGCCACCCTGGGCTTGGCCGCCTCTGCCTCAGGCCTGGCTGCCACTGCCCCAGGTCTGGCTGCTCCAGTGCTGGCCGTTGATGCTCTGGTTCTGGCTGCTGCTGCTCTGGGGCCTGGCTGTTGCTGCTCGAGGCCCGGCTGCCACTGCCTTGTGCCTGGGCACTCTAGGCCTGGCCGCCGCCATTCCAACATTCTGTCCTTTTTTTTTTTAAACGCATTTATGTTGCAATGTTGGCTGCTGAGTTGAGTTCTGACTTAGTCTTCAATTTTTCAAGATCTTCTTTGTATTCTTTCTTAAATAATTTTACTATCTTTTGCCCTCACTTGATTTCTTCCCATTGAAAACTTCGGTTTCTTCCTCCTTGTCCTGGAAGCTCAGCAGGTTGGCCTGTGGCGCCCCTTTGTTCTCCGCGGGCTCCTGTGCTGCTTCAGCCTGTTGCCGGGGTTGGCGCTGCCCAGGAAGCAGCCCCCGGCCTCGGCTTCGTGGCCCGCGCTCAGCGGTCGAAGGCCCAGGGGCACCCCCCTAGCCCCCCTGGGGGACCCATCGCCCGGCTCCTTGCTGGCGCCTGGCTGGCCGGTGTCCAGCAGGGGCTCCTGTTCCTCGTCGTGTTCCTCCAATCTGGAGCTTCTTTTCTCCTTCCCACTAGGGGAGTCTAGCATCAGAGTCAACAGACTGTCCTCTGTGCGCAGTGTGCCCGACTCCGGGGGCTCGCTTTTCGCCGCTCCCCCAGGACTCCACCTCACAGCCCCGTCTCCTTCTGCTTGAGCCTGGGTCCCCAGGGATTGGCACAGAACTGGGGTTCAGAGCAGTCGGGACTGGGGCTCAGCGCCGCCGGAGGCTTTGTTTCTTCCCGCCAGGGGAATCCAGCATCAGAGTCAACATTCCGTCCTCTGTGCGCAATGTGCGTGACTCCGGGGCTCCTCTTTTCGCCGCTCCCCTGGGATTCCGCCTCACAGCCCCGTCTCCCCCTGCTGGAGCCTGGGTCCCCAGGGTCTGGCCCCTAACTGGGCTCAGCGCTGCCAGTTCTGGGGTTCAGCCCAGGCTGGGGGTTTTATTTCCTTCCTGCTAGGGAATGCCAGGCAGGCACCCAGCCCTCTCCTTCTCTCCGGCTGCGTCCTGTCCGCGCGCGCGAGTGTGTGCGTGCGCGCAGCATGTCTCCGTACCTTAGGCTTTTTCAGCTCCTCTGATTTTCCTTCTGGATTTCTTTTTCCTTCTTGTTGTAGAATTTTCAGTCAGTCAACTACCTGTAGCTCTAGGCAATCTCCACTCTACATTTTAGTTGTATTCCATTGAAATTGTTGTGTGCTGCTGCGGTTAGGTGTCTACCTGAGCAGCCATCTTGGATCCTCCCTCTCGACTGGATCTTTCTTAATCTAGACGCCCTCTCCTAGGATAGGCCTTGCCTCCACGTCCACAGTGAGCTCCGCTCACCCCAGCACCCATCTCTTGTCCTTGGTGGCGCTCTCATTTTATCCGTCTGCATTTAGTACTCTTGTTCAGTTTGCTACTCACCTTCCGCACCAGGAAAGGCCCTTGATGGCAGGCCCAGTCTGTTGCTCACAGTGTGTTCCCAGTAGCAATGCCATGGCGGCACAGAGAGGCCTGAGTAAACAGTTGTCGGTGAATTGTTTTATTTTATTTTTAATTTAATGTTCTTGTTAAGCCTTGCCCGAGATATTTTTTCCATTGATTTTTAAAGAGGGTGGAAGGGAGTAAGGGGGGAGAGAGAGAAACATCGGATGTGAGAAAGACACACGTGGATTGGTTCCCTCCCAAAAGCACCCGGATTGGGCCTGGGATCCACATGCAGTCGAGGGGTGTGCCCTTGATGGAGATCGAACCCGAGACTCTTCAGTGCATGGGCTGAGCACTGCCACTGAGCCACACCGGCCAGTGGATGAAAGCTTTCCAAGTGACTGGAGCGCTACGGAAACGCTGCAGCTTGGTTAGGGGGATGGGTTCCTGGGAACATTTAACTTTCGCGCCAGGGGAGATGCCACACGTCACAAAGTCTCGTTCTTTGTAGAAACGTAAATTCCCCAGCGTTTTGATGGGATACAGCTTTCTGATGAAAAATATTGATCTACGGTTTTGTGTTTTTTTCCCCCCTATCTATAATTCTTACAGGGCAGTTTGTAGTTAAGCCAGTGCATGCTTTAACTTGCAGTTTCTACAGGAATCCTGTGGTAAAGAGAGCGTACGATTTTGGGTTTCGAGTCTGACCTTCATGGCCAACTTGCTGTGCAGCCACAGCCTAAGATGCTTTACTTCTCTGAGCCTCGTTTTCATTGCTTGAAAAATGGAAAACATTAACACTTAAGTCAGTAATTTGTTGTTCAGGCAAAAATTACTTCATGTGTGGCCACACTGAATTCTGTGGGAGATTTAAAAAAAATAAAAGTAACACCAACCCTTGCCTCCCAGGAGGTTGTGTAGCTGGGGAGAGCCCAGCAGGAAAGGTTAGTTGAGAACAGGCTGGACGCTCTGTCCGCAGGGTCAGGCCTCCCAGGGAGCGGGGTGGTGCTCATCACCAACTGGATAACAAGCTGACATCGCAGTTCGGAGCGGACCGGGAGTCCTGCATGGTGGTGTTGCAATAGAATGGTCTCATATTTGCCAAGCAGTTGAAGGGAGGGGCTAAAAAATAGTGTCGATACTTTAGCAACTCAGAGAACTAATGGGTTGCATTGAGCTTTGACTAAAATTAACACTGGAAGTTCTTCTATTTTAGGCGACTTTGAACCAGTGCAATGGCGACTGCAGTGAGCAAGGCTCCCGAGAATGCTGACCTGTGGTCCTCGCACGAGAAAATGCTGGCACAGCCCCTGAAAGACAGCGACATCGAGGTGAGGTGGTGGGGTCTTTGAGGGGGTCCTTAAACCCCAGTCTCCTGTTTCCTCTCTAGCTCTAATCCTAAGTGCCCTTCACTCAGAGCAGCCTTGCAGTCAGTGTAAGAGGCCAGGCTCACAGGCAGCCGCTGGCAAAGAGCTGAGAGCCCTGTGGGCAAGGTTACAAAGTGCAGAGTGCTGTGCTGGGTGCTCGGGAGGGACGGGAAAGCCACTGAGTTTTGACCCTTTTCTTACAGTTCAGAGGAGTACATTCAGACACCAAGAAGCATCTTTTATTAATGCATTTTTAAAAATATATTTTATTGATTTTGTACAGAGAGGAAGGGAGAGAGATAGTTAGAAACATCGATGAGAGAGAGTCATTGATCAGCTGCCTCTTGCACACCCCCTACTGGGGATGTGCCCGCAACCAAGGTACATGCCTTTGACTGGAATCGAACCCGGGACCTTTCAGTCCCCAAGCTATGCTCTGTCCATTGAACCAAACCGGTTTCGGCTATTAATGCATTTTTTAAAAATATATTTTTATTGATTTCAGAGAGGAAAGGAGAGGGAGAGAGAGATAGGAACATCAATGATGAGAGAGAATCATGGATCAGCTGCCTCCTGCACGCCCCCTACTGGGGATGGAGCCCGCAACCTGGGCATGTATCCTGACTGGGAATTAAATGTGACCTGCTGGTTCATAGATCAATGCTCAACCACTGAGCCACACCAGCCTGGCCTAACCGTCTTTTAAGGAAGCTTATCTTAAGAAAGAGAAGCAAGGAATCAGGGAGAGGAAAACGAGGTGAAATGTAAAACTAAAGATAAGATGGTATAGAGTTAAAAATTAGGTGAGATGTTTATCTTAACTAGATTCTGAGTTTGGTTTTTTGGGTTATGGTCAACCTCTGAGGTGGCTGTGTAAAATGGCTCTTCTCTTTCCTCGGCCATTGTTTTGATCAGAGCAGAACGCTGAGCTTAGAGGTCCCAGTGTTTATGTCTGTTTTCTCCTCTTCAGGTTTACAGCATCATTAAGAAGGAGAGTCACCGGCAACGGGTTGGACTGGAGCTCATCGCCTCGGAGAATTTCGCCAGCCGCGCCGTATTGGAGGCCCTGGGCTCCTGCTTAAATAACAAGTACTCGGAGGGGTACCCCGGCCAGAGGTATGTGGATGCTGCTGAGCGCTGCTCCGGCAGGCGGGCGCGGCGCGGGTCTGCAGAGTGCGGCCCCGCGGGCGCCTGCCTGTCCATGCCGCGGTCCCACACACCTTCACGCCGGGCGGTGAGCGCCGGTGTTCCAGAGCCGCCAGGCCAGGTCACCGACGGCTCCTGGGGGCTTTCCTGCCGAGCCACCAGGCCCTCTAAGGGTGCGGAGCTGCTGAGCGGAGGGGAGCCTCCGGGAAAGGTCGGCAGGCGCCCTGAGGGATGCCGTGGGCGGGGTTGCTGCGTGTGAGCAGTCAGAGCGGTCTCAGGAGTGGACACTGACCTTTGCACAGACGCGTTGCTGTGTTAGGAATGTTGGCTTTACGTGGGCGGTGATCTGGGTCACCTCCCTCACCGGAGAACCGGAGAAACCGTGCTTTTACAGTCATCGCCGACAAAGTGCTGATTACAGAATCGACGTGTGGTTGTGCAAATTTGTATTTTTGTCCCGAAGGACACAGAAGAAGCAGGGTCACCCTGGGAGTTGACCTGGCAGTCCCCCCTGAGGTGCTCTGCGCTCTCTGCAGATCGGCCAGACAGCGAGGGCTGTGTTCCTCTGCGAGAATGACTCACGTTTGCGTGGCACTCGGGGAGTCACTGGGTGTTTTCACAACCACTGTCTCCTTTGAGCCTCACGGCTGCCCCGCAGGGACAGGGGGGCCGTGCTCCATGCTGTGAGGACGGGAGAGTGAAGACTCACTAAGATTTGGTGACTTTTCAAGTTCGCACACAGGTAGTGGAGCTGGGGCAGATGTAGATGCTTTCCAATGGGGCCATGATAAGAAATATCTGGTCTTTGTCCCTGGTTTCCGGCACCTGAGCTCCTAAAACTCTTGGGATCTGATAGGAATGTCTTACTCATAATGAACACACCTGCGTTTGTGTTAAGAGGTGACCCTGGCTGGGCCTCTAGAGGGCTTCAGGGTGGGCTGGTGGCCAGAAAGACCAAGGCGTGCTGAGGGCTGAAGCCGCGGTCACCACCGATGGCCCAGGGAAGCCTGTGCAAACCCAGCCCGGTGAGGGGAGGGCTGCCCAGTTGGTGAGCGGTGGAGGTGCTGGGCGGGGGCATCCTGAGAGGCCCGGGAGCCAAACCCTGTCCCCACACCTGCCCCACGCGTCTGGCCAGTGGGTCAGTAAAGTGCTGTCCTGCGTCCCATGGGTCTCTCTGGTGAGTTCCTGAACGTGAGAGAGGGTATAGGAATCCAGAGTTTATCAGAAAGAAGTGAGCAGCCTGGAGACAAGCCTCTGAAGTGGGCCGGCCTGGGGACTGAGCCTGAGCCTCGGGGCTGGGGCTGCCCCGCTGGTGGTCACAGCTGAATTGAATTGTAGAACTGATGGCGTGAGAAAACCCCCTCACATTTGACATCAGAAGTGTTGTTACCGGAAAGGGGCCCAGGCGGTGGGTGGTTGATGTGGTGCAGGGAAGAATTCATCCGTGAGTCCAGGTGACTTTGTGGGACGCTGATTGAAGCTGGGCAGTGAGACAGGAAGGGCTGGGACAGAGGCAGCAGGAGAGCCTGGGGGGTGGGGGGGGCGGAGAGGGGGGAGACCTGCTCCGTTCACTAAGGAGTCAGAGAAAAGGGGTCAGGGAGACAGATCACATTGGAGGGTGAGCCGGGACGAGCTGCCGCTGCCCATTGCTCCCTGTGGGTCCCGTGGAGAGCAGGGGCGCCCACCCGAGGGGAGGGAAGGCAGGGGCGCTCCTGGGAGGGGGAGTGCCAGCTGGGTCCCTCCTGAGGGTTTATGGCTGGGCATTTAGGGGAGGAATTAACCACTTTCAGGGTCATGGTCTCCACTAATTGGTCAGCCCCAAGGCAAGGGGTTTAAGCTGCAGGACCAGCAATATGCCAGGAGGAACAGGCTACCTGTGGGCAAGTCTACACCAGGTTTGCTGTTCCTCGTCACCCAGAGCTCTGTGTCTGCTGGATGGCTGGCCAGTTTGTTAGCTCTCTGTTTCCCCAGCCCATGTGGCAAGGAACTTCCCTAATTCCCTACTAACCTGCCTTATTGTGAGTAAAAACCCCTCAGTCGCCCTTTTTTCCTTTTTGTGGTAAAATATACATAATAGAAAATTTTCCTTTTTAAGTGTGCAGTTCAGTGGCATTAAGCACATTCACAATATGGTACAACTATCGCCACCATCATCTCCAGAACTTTTTCATTTTGTATAAACAAAACTCTGTACCCATTAAACTGTAACTCCTGCCAGCAAGCACATGAACCAGGTGCCAACATCACTGAACATCAGCGACATTCCGGTCAGAACCCCAATGAGCTATTGCCTCCCTCCCATTAGGATGGCTACTGTAGACACACACACACACACACACACACACACACAAAACGAGTGTTGGTGAGACTATAGAGGAGTAGGCCTTGTCCCCTGTTGGTAGGGATGTAAAATGTGCAGCCACTGTGGAAAACAGTACACAGGTTCCTCAAAAAATGAAAAATAGAATTATACTAGTGGCCTAGTACACGAAATTCGTGCACGGGGGTGGAAGGTGTTCCTAAGCCTGGCCTGCACCCTCTCCAATCTGGGACCCCTCAAAGGATGTCCTACTGCTGGTTTACAGGGATCGGGCCTAAACTGGCAGTTGGACATCCCTCTCACAATCTGAGATTGCTGGCTGTAGCTGTTCACCTGCCTGCCTGCCTGATCACCCCTAACCATTCTGCCTGCTGGCCTGCTCACCCCCAGCTGCCTCCCCGCCACCGGCCTACTTGCCCCCAAATACCTCCCCGCCAGCCTGATCACCTCCAACTGCCCCCCCTGCTGGCCTGTTCCCCACCTTCCCCACTGGCCTGCTCACCCTCAACTGCTCTCCCCTGCTGGTCTGATCACCTCTAACTGACCCCCACTGATCACCCCCAACTGGCCCCCTGGTCTGCTTACCCCCAACTGCCCCTGCCATTCCATCTTGGCATGATCAGCCCCCAGTGACCCAAGGTCCCAGCCACTCCTTTTTTCTTTTTCTTTTCTTTTTTTTTTTTAATTTTTCAGCACCTCCTTGAGCAGAGGCTAGGGCCGGCTGAAAGCAAGTATCTAGGATATATTTATCTTCTATAATTGAAACAGAGGCCAGGGCTGGTCAGGAAGCTTGGCTTCCTCCATTGCCAGGGGGAACTCAAGCCTCCTGCTTGCTCCAGCTCCGTGGCCGCCGCCATTTTTCTTGGGATTTGTTTATCTTCTATAATTGAAACTTTGTAGCCTTGAGCAGAGGCCAGGGCCAGCACAGGCGGGAAGCTTGGCTTTCTCCATTGCCGGGGGCAACCCAAGCCTCCAGCTGGCTCCAGCTCAGTGGCTGCTGCCATATTTGTTTAGTTAATTTGCATACTCACTCCTGATTGGCTGGTGGGCATGGGTTGGCATAACAGAGTGATGGTTAATTTTCATGTTTCTCTTATTAGTATAGATGATACAGTAATTCCACTTCTGGGTATATATTCCAATAGAATTGAAATCAGGGAATTAATAACTCTCTATCATCTAACTCTTCCTCTCTGTGAAAAATCAACAAAATATATAAAAACGAAATCAGGGAATGAAACAGATATTTATACACCATGTTCATAACAACATTGGTCACAGTAATCAACATATGGGAGCAACCCAAGTGTCTATGATGGACAGGTGGATAAGCAAAGGTGGTCTATCTATAATAATAAAAGTGTTATATGCTAATTAGACTGGACAGCTGAACGACCTTCCAGATGTCCTTCTGGACTAAGCCTTGGTGACAGGGGCCAAGGCAGAGGCAGTTAGAGGCGATCAGGCAGGCAGGCAAGCAGTTAGGAGCCAGCGGTCCCGGGTTGCAAGAGATATTTCTGACTGCCGGTTTAGGCTCAATCCTGCAGCTCCTGGATTGAGAGGAGGGTGCAGGCCAGATTGAAGGACACCCCCCCTCCCATACATGAATTTCATGTACCGGGCCTCTAGTACATACAATAAGAAAAAGAAGGAGCCGAAACCGGATTGGCTCAGTGAATAGAGGGTTGGCCTGTGGACTGAAAGGTCCCAGGTTCAATTCCAGTCAAGGGCATGTACCTTGGTTGCGGGCACATCCCCAGTGGGAGGTGTGCAGGGGGCAGCTGATCGATGTTTCTCTCTCATCAATGTTTCTAACTCTCTATCCCTCTCTCTTCCTTTCTGCAACAAAAAACAAACAAACAAACAAACAAAAAATCAATAAAATATATTTTTTAAAAATAAAAGAAAAAGAAGGAAATACTACCACATGCTGCAAGGATGAACCTTGAGGATATTATGCTTCATGAAATGAACTGGTCACAAAAAGACAAATACTATATGACTCCATTTATACGAGGTCCCTAGAATAGTCAAAATAATAGAAATGGAAAGTAGATGGTGGTTCCTAGGAGCTCGGGGAGGGAGAAAGGGGGAGTTGTTCAGTGGGTGTAGAGTTTCAGTTTTGCAAGATGAAAAAGTTCTAGAGATCTGCTGTATAACAGTGTGAGTACTTATCGGCACTGAACACTACTACACCGTGTACTTACAAATGGTCAGGTGGTATGGCTCGGTTGGTTGAGTATCGTCCCATGCACCAAAAGGTCATTGTTTAATTCCGGTGGAGGCATAGGCCCATGGTGCTGGCTCAGTCCCTGTGGGGGAGCATGCAGGAGGCAACTGATCGCTTTGTCTCTCACTCTTTCTCTAAAAATCAATAAAAACATTTTTTTTAAAAATGGTTATGATGTTAAATTTTGTTAGTAATTTTTACTATAACTAAAAAAATGTAAACACATATAATTTCAAAAATTTCTAAGCTTTTTGTGACCACAAGGCCTTAGTATTAAAAATTTCTTCTGGATTGAGTTATCATGATTATTAGTATGTATACCAATAAAAACATAAATATATGAGAATTTTTTAAAAAATATATTTAAATTTTTTTTTAATTTATTCATATTTTACAGAAAGGAAGAGAGGGATAGAGAGTTAGAAACGTCGATGAGAGAGAATCATCGATCAGCTGTCTCTTGCACACCCCCCACTGGGGATGTGCCCGCAACCAAGGTACATGCCCTTGACCAGAATCGAACTTGAGACCCTTCAGTCCACAGGCTGACGCTCTATCCACTGAGCCAAACCAGTTTCGGCAATATATGAGAAATTTTGATATGTTGTCATTAAATGAGAAGTAAAATTTTATTAGAAATTCAAAAACCCTCTACCTCTCCCTCCACCTATCCCCCTGTCAACCACCATTGCACATTCTGTCTCCCTGAGCGTGACTGCTGTTGGTGCCCACGTCGGGGCCGGATCGGGCTTGTTCCGCTCAGCACGAGGCTAATGCCAGGCTGGCCCTGTAGCTCACGTCCGCTTCCTCGGGGATGAGGAGACACTGACTCGGAGTCGGAGCGGGCACTGGGGAGGGCGACCCCGTGGCTTCACCCGGGCCCACTCCTGTGCCATCCAGCGCGCAGTCTCTGGCTCCGCCAGAGGCCCTGATCTGCTCCTCTCGCAGGTACTACGGCGGGACCGAGTTCGTCGATGAGCTGGAGACCCTCTGTCAGAAGCGAGCGCTGCAGGCCTATGGTCTGGACCCCCAGTGCTGGGGGGTCAACGTCCAGCCCTACTCGGGTAACTACCTACCAGGCTCACAGAGAGGAGCTGAGCGAGGCCTGCCCATCCACGGGAGTTAGAAAAAGCCTCCTGTCAGCTTGTCTTTCTCCACGGCTTTGGCTCCGCTGTCCTTGCCCCTCAAAGATAGTGCACGGTCTGACCCTCCCCCCCTCCCCTCCCTTCCAAAGGGATGGGTGTGGGGAACCTCTGGGGGCTTGAGGAATGCATCATTGTTTCCCGTCCAAAGTCCACGTGCCCCCACTTTGAAAGGCCAAAACTCAGAGTTTGGAGGAAGGGAAGATTTGTTGATCGAGAAGATGGGCCCTGATCTCAAACCCATCTTAAGAAAGCAGAGTTGAGGCCCCGCAGACTCCCTCTGGTGACTGGCACATCGGGAGCAGGCCGTTAGCCTAGCGGCCATGGGAGCTACACAGATTTAACCTGATCGAGTCAGAGACGGAGCATTTCTCTCTTCCACACGGTGGCCTAGTCTGCTCTGGCCCCTTCCGGTGGATGGTCTGGTAGCTCAGCTGGGAGTCCTGCGAGGTGCCGCCTGGGCAGGAGCAATTATACGCCCTCTGGTCTGCCCGCTGCAGGCTCCCCTGCCAACTTCGCGGTGTACACCGCCCTGGTGGAACCCCATGGGCGCATCATGGGCCTGGACCTGCCAGACGGAGGCCACCTGACCCACGGGTTCATGACAGACAAGAAGAAAATCTCTGCTACGTCCATCTTCTTTGAATCCATGCCCTATAAGGTAAGAGTGCCTCTCTCCACTGCCTCCTCAGAAAGCCGCCGGCGTGTGGCTGCTCCGATAGGAAAGAGCTTTGCACTGTAGGAAGCCCCACGTTCACCGTTGGTCATGTCCCTGCCCTGGGTGTCCTCGGGCACACAGGGCAGGCTGGGCGGTGGGGGTGGAACCCCGAGGGGCTGAGCTGCGGCACAGGGACGGTTGGGGAGGCAACTGTGTAGAGACTCCAGCCACAGCAGGGCTGCCAGCTGCTCCAGAGCGAGGGCAGTGACACCTCCCAACAACCAGTCCCCCAGCTGGACCCTTAGTGACAGCAGCTGCAGCCGGAGCTCCCGCCGCAGCCCGCAGCCCCATCAGCACCTCGCCAGCCTCCTTAGCCAGGCCCTATGCCCATTGCGGGACCGGCACATATTTATGTGGGGCCCTTGTCATTATAAGCAGTTTGGTTTAAAAAAAAAAAAAAAAGTATGTAAGGCCCTGGCCGGGTAGTTGAGTTGGGTAGAGCATCATCCTGCTATGAAAAGGGTGAGGGCTCAGCCCCACTCAGGGCACATGCAGGAGGCGACCAATAGTGCATGAATGGGTGGACAACAGACCATGTCTTCTCCCCCTGCCCCCAAATCAATAGAGAAAAGTGTGTGTGAGACCCGTGGCCTCCTGGGGGTGCAGACAGTGCGCCGTGAAGATGGGAGAGAGTGGTACAGAGGTGGCATGCACACCTGCTCACGGTACACCCTGTGCACCTGCTGCTTCCTCGATTCCCGGTCAAGGGCAGGTACCTGGGTTTTGGGTTCAAACCCCACCCATGCAGTGTGTCTCTCTCACCTCGCTATAATGTTTCTCCCTCCCTCCCTCCCTCCCACTCTCTCTGAAAAGCAATGGAAAAAAATATCCTCTGGTGAGGACTAACAACAACAAAAACATACTTAGGAAACAAAGAAAGAGCCGTGGCCAGTGTGGCTCAGGTGAGCGTTGACCTATGAACTGGTCAAGGCCCATGCCCGTTTGGGGGCTGGATCCCCAGTGGGGGTTCCGCAGGTGTTTTTTTTTTTAGCATGTTGCATGTCCTTGGTTGTTTGCTGTTTTGCTTTGTTGTGTGTTTTATCTGAGGATATTTCCCCATTGGTTTTTAGAGAGAGTATTAGAGAGAGAAAGACATAAATAACGATGTTAGAGACACATCGATTGGTTGCCTCCTTCACGCTCCCTAACCAGGGCCTGGCTCAGGGAGGAGCCGGCAACCCAGGTACATGCCCTTGACTGGAATTGAACCTGGGAACCTTTGGTCTGCTGGCCAACGCTCTATCCACTGGCTAGGGCTGTTTGCTGTTTTATTAGCCTTTGTCTCAGTTCTAGTAATTGCACATAAGCTTTTTTTTCCTCATTGATTTTGAGGGGCAAGAGAAAGAGGAGGGAGGCATCGATTTGTTGTTTTGCTTATGTGTGTGCTCATTGATTGCTTCTTGTATGTGTCCTGACAGATCAAACCTGCAACCTTGGCGTATCAGGACTCTGCTCTAACCTGCTGGGCTACCCGGTCATATGCTTTCTGAGTGCAAGTGCTGGCTCATTTCTTTCCATGGGAAGCCTTGGTGTTTGCAGTGGCGGTATCTCACTCGCCAGTGCTGACCTTGAACGTGGAATCTGAAACAGGACAGTAGTGATACAGTCTTTGCACTGAGAGCACAAATGCCGATTTCTGGCTTCTTTCACCGGGGGAAGCCTGTGGCAGAGGAGCCGTGGGCTTGCTCTTCAACCTTCACGGGGGCCTTTGGGGCGCCTTGTGCTTTTTAGCCCAATGTCTGCTGTTATCGAAGTCTTCCTGGTATTAGCAAGCCTGGGGCCGCACCCAGTCACCCCACAGCCACCCTCTTCTTTGGCATGCACTATGCAGGCTCAGTCCTGTGGACAACGGAGGCCAGCCAGTGTTGGGCTGGTCGGTATAGAGTGGCTGAGACGGGACCCTGGCCAGCTTTGCCGGCTCAGCTGCTGGAGGATAGCTTTGGGCACCGGCATTGGTAGTCAAGCAGGAGGACACAAACCTGATTGGTCTTCAGCAGCAGCTGTTACCCATCAGGCCGCTCTCCCCCAGCCTCTCAGCACTGCCCCAGGGGACTTTCACACCAGCCACCGCCCACCCCGGGCCGGGCAGTCCATCCCTGTGGAGAAACAGCACGTACCTGCTGTACCTGCTGTCCTCTGCCCTGTGAGTAAGGCACCTCCTTCCCGCTGGGCCTGTGCCAGGAGGGGGCTCCTTCCTCTCCGAGGCCTCCACTCTGCTCTGGCTGCAGGGCAGTTGGTCACATGCCTGTGAATCCTTCCAGGAGATGTGTTACTGCCGAATTTTTGAAATTAAAAACAAACAAACAAAAACAAACTTTAAAAAATATCCCACAAGTTTCAAAATCAAAAAGTGCAGGGAAAGAGTAGCAACTGATTTTTTTTTTTTTTTTTTGTGGGGGGGGTAATTATGTCCTCTAAAAGTTTTTAGAATGATGTCCATTTTTTTAATGTGGATCAGCCATTGATTTTCCAGTTAACAGTTTCTTTGCTGAGTTTAGGTGACTAAGAAAGATTCAGCTACATCCTTAAAACAAAACAAAACCACAAGTGGTCTTTCAGCCTGCTTTCCAGACCAGAACTCGCGCACGCACATCTGTGCTTGTGTTGAACTGAAAGCATTTTTTTTTAAAATATATTTTATTGATTCCTTACAGAGAGGAAGGGAGAGAGACAGAGAGCCAGAAACGTCGATGAGAGAGAAACATTGACCAGCCGCCTCCTGCACATTCCCTACTGGGGATGTGCCCGCAGCTAACATACATGCCTTGACAGGAATCGAACCCGGGACCTTTCAGACCGCAGACCGACGCTCTACCACTGAGCCAAACTGGTTTTGGCTGAAAGCATTTTTTTAATTTGGAAAGGATGACCACCTAACTTCATGGGGTGGGGCTTCCATGCGAGAACTTTCTCTCCACCTCCTCCCCGAGGGCTCCCATGCCCCCCACACCCCTAAGACTTTCCTACAGTACCCCCTGAGATTTTTTTTTAATAAGTTTTTATTGATTTCAGAGAGAGAGAAAAACATCCAAGAGAAAGAAATGTGGGTTGGCTGCCGCCTGCATGCCTCACACTGGGGATCAAGCCCGCAACCTGGGCATGTGCCCTGACCGGGAATCAAACCGTGACCTCCTGGTGCATGGGATGGCACTCAGCCACTGAGCCACACTGGCCCCTGTGATTATTTTTACTTCCCCTTCGCGTACGTAGATGCTTTAACATAACGTCAGTAAATTGAACTTACTGAGAAACGTCCTACCACCTGCACTCCATCGGGATTGAGTTGGTGTCTGGAGGCCTGTGGTGGCTGCGGCAGGCACCCTGCCGACCTCGCACCACATGTTGGAGTCCTCGCTGCCCTGCGGCTCCGCACCTGGTCCCAGCCGGCTCCCTGCCCGCTCTGTTGCCACGCTGTCCCTCCCCGCGCACAGCCTGCATTGTCACCTTTGAGTGCTTTTACATGTCTCTCAATAATGCTCTGGATAGCGGCCTTGCACATCTTTTGTCATGTTAAAATTTCATTTTCTGATTTTTGCTGCTCATGGATATGAATATAATTGATTTTTTAATTGGCTTTTGATCCTACATCCAGTGACCTCACTAATGCAATTACTAGTAGCTTGCTTCTGAGTCAGGTTTGCTAGGTCCTAGGTATACAAGCGGTGAGGGAAGTCCGCTCTCAGGTTTCCTGATCCCACGACTTCGTCTCTGTGGCCTCCCTGGGCTGGCACTGAAGGAGCTGCCGGCGGGCACCTCCTGTCGGCTGCCTGCTGCCCTCGCTCCTGTTCTCTGCAGGGGCTTTCTAGTTCCTCCTCATCCCAGGAGAACCTGGGGGGGGGGGCTCACTGTCCCCGAACCCCTCAGGCCTTCATGGGTCCGAGTGCTGCTTGGTGGCCTGCACTACAGGGGCGTGCCAACGAGGGCTCCCGGCCTGGGCATCTTCCTGCCTCAGGCGGAGAGGAGTGGACAGCTCTGGGCGGGGGAAGGAGCCGCCTGGCCCGGGGCGGGGCTCGGGCCCCTGAGCTTGGTGTCCATGCTTCCACAGGTGCACCCGGACACTGGCTACATCAACTACGAGCAGCTGGAGGAGAATGCCCGCCTCTTCCACCCGAAGCTCATCATCGCAGGTGATGGCGGCGGGACGCGGTGGTGGTCCCGGCCCCGGGCTCTGCTCCTCCCCGGCCGGGCTCACGCCGGTCTCCGCCGTGGATGGCTGAGCTCCGGGTCTACGTGCGTCCTTCTCTCAGGGCGGAGACCACTTTGCCGCATTAGCCCTGTGGATAGGTCCGAGGCTGTTCCCGAGAAGCATCTGGGAACGTTAATCCTTAGTAACGGGGGTGGTATCACAGGGGGGCTGTCCTCACCCAGGGCATCGAAGAGGCAGAGATCAGAGTGGCTGCCTGGACACAAGATGTTTTTCGAGAGCGTCCTTCATCTCTGTTCTCCGATTGGAGGGAGACGTTCCAGGCTCTCTGCTTGCCGCCGGGCCGAGCTGGCTGCGGCATCTCCGACAACGGGTCGCTTCTGCCGCCTTAGGAACCAGCTGCTACTCCCGAAACCTGGACTACGCGCGCTTGCGCAAGATTGCCGATGACAACGGGGCGTACCTCATGGCCGACATGGCGCACATCAGCGGGCTGGTGGCGGCTGGCGTGGTGCCCTCCCCCTTCGAACACTGCCACGTGGTGTCCACCACCACCCACAAGACCCTGCGAGGCTGCCGCGCCGGCATGATCTTCTACCGGCGAGGTGCGTCCTCGGGCGGCAGCTGTGCGGGCGGGCCAGGTTCCTGCCCTCTGGGTGTGCACAGCCATGGTGGGGCGGGGGAGACTGGATCTGAGAGCGGCTGAGGGTGAGGGCAGGCTGCAGGGATCTGGAGAGAAGCCGCAGCGCAGCTGTCGGACCCGGGAAGGGAGGTTGCATCATGCTGGGCGGCCGCCTCAGGTGCCGAGGGGAAAGGACTGCGTGGCTGACCAAGGCGACCGGGGCCGCCGGCACAGAGTTGTTTTGGTGAATCGCCGTGTTTTTTCTAGAGAAGACTATAGGCATCGATGTACCAGTCATAGTGCCCGTTTGTCATGTCAGTAGAACTTCTCTCTCCAGCAGTGGGATGCTTCCAGCCCACATGTATGTGGGTGCTCCATATTTTGGGATTCCCACCTGTGAGAGAGCCGTGTGGGCCTGTGCAGGGGCCTGGCGTCAGCAGCTCCTCCCTGGCCCCGCCCGGCGCACCATGTGCGGTGGGCCCCTCTGCACCTGCAGGCCTTTCCGTGCGCTGGGTGTCCGGGCAGGTAGCCCCCTCCCGCCCGGGAGATGTCTGCCTTCCCCGCTGCCCGTCTGCCCGCTCAGCCAGCCGGAGTGAGTCCTGGCCCTGCCTGGGGCCAGCGGTGAGCCTCTGCGCCCCCCTCAGCTCCGGGCAGGACCGCAGCGCCTGCCATGGCCGCTGCAGTGAGCATGCGTGGGTTCCTGCCGGGAAGTGCTGACAGCCGTTCCCTAGTTGTGCCGGCGGCCCTGGTTGCCTGGCTCACAAAAAGCTCTGGACACATCGGTATTATGGTCCTGATTTTTTTTTTTTTAATATATTTTATTGATTTTTTACAGAGAGGAAGGGAGAGGGACAGAGAGTTAGAAACGTCGATGAAAGCGAAACCGACCAGCTGTCTCTTGCACACCCCCTACTGGGGATGTGCCCGCAACCAACGTACATGCCCCTGACCGGAATCGAACCCGGGACCTTTCAGTCCAGAGACCGATGCTCTACCACTGAGCCAAACCGGTTTTGGCTGGTCCTGATTATTAACTCTTCTCCAAAAGGAGCCCAGTCCCGTCTCTAGCCGCCCGAGTCTCCTCAGAGTGGCCATCCCGGCACTTCTCTGAGGAGCTGTGCCCCAGGCGTATTCTTTGTGACGGTCTCTGAGGGAAATGTTCATCATTCCGTTCCATCTGTGAAAGGGGGGTGCCCCCTGGCAGCCGGCGCCCTCTCTGCCCACAGCATGTCATGCAGGTCTCACCTCCCGAAGCGCCCACGGCTCCGCAGTCTGGGTCAGTCCAGGGGAGAAGCCAGCCCGTCTGTTGTTCCATCCTGATCTTTCTTCATCCAGGAGTGCGCAGCACGGACCCCAAAACCGGCAAAGAGATCCTGTACAACCTGGAGCCGCTCATCAACTCCGCCGTGTTCCCCGGGCTGCAGGGCGGGCCCCACAACCATGCCATTGCCGGTAGGACCTCAAGAACCCAACCCCAAGCCCTCGGCGGTGTCCCTTCACCCATAGCAGCCCCGGTGGTCAGTCCTACTTCTGTTCACCCCCTCACCCCCCACCAAAGTCCTCCAGGACTTCCACGCTGGGGAGACACGAGAGGAAAGTCCCCGTCTGGGAGATAGCCCAGGGGGATGGGGACTGGCCGAGGCAGGGGCAGGTGTGGCGCCCTCGGGAGCTGGGTCAGGCCAGTCTGTGGAGCTCTAAGAACCATCGGGGAGGAATCAGACAGCTGGAAGAAGGCATGGCAGAGGGAGGGGGTGAGCGAGGACATGCCTCTCCCTGACCTGTGGGGAAGACACCTGTGTCAGATCCTAGCACCGTTGGCCTTGGGGCCGCACCCGTGGCTCCTGGACCCGATTCCAGGACCCCCAGCAAGCAGTCCCGACTCATTTCCTCTCTGTACAAGCGGCTCAGAAATCTGTGGCGACCTCAGTCACTCACTCTCTTCTTTGGACAAAGCAGTTGCTAGGGGAGCCCAGGACTAAGGTCTAACCCCGCAGCTCAGCGTCTGCAGTTCCTTCCGCCTCAGAGGATGGCGTCGCCCAGCCTCCAGCCTCTGGCGGGACGCAGCCCGTGCGGTCTGTGTTCTCCATTTCTGTGCTTCACAAGCACACAGGTACCAGGTGGGTCAGGACGTGCAGGTGGCCCAGGCCTGCACCCTCGCCTGGGGTCTGATCTGGCCTCACCGCCCCAGCTTTCAGCAGCATTGTCACACATGGAGCTGGAGGGCTGCCCGCCAGCCCGCCTTGCTGAGAGCAGCTCTCCTGTGACATCTCCATCCCGGGAGACCAGCTGCCTGGACCGGAAGAGGTCGGGCGGCGCGGCCAGGTCAAAAACAGACGTCACTTGGGGGTGTCGTCCGCCCCTTTCCGTGACGGCGAAGAACAAGCCTGACAGACCAGGCTTTTGAGTCTGGGCCTGTCTGTGCTCCGTCCCGCCTCTAACCGCTGTCTCCCTGCAGGGGTGGCTGTGGCTCTGAAGCAGGCCATGACGCCGGAGTTCCGCATGTACCAGCGCCAGGTGGTGGCCAACTGCAGGGCGCTGGCCGCGGCCCTGATGGAGCTGGGCTACAAAATAGTCACAGGTACAACTGAAACTCAGGTGACACCCCCGCCTGGCTGTGACCCTCTGCTTCTGACTCCCCCGGGCAGGGTGTGGCTGTAGCGGGGCCCTGGGCTGCGGCTGCCGGGGTTTGAGTCAGGGCACCTCCAGGAGGCGCCCTGGTGGCCTCCCCCCCCTCACACAGGGACAGCTGCCCCCTGCTGGGCCAGTGTGGTGGCCTCCCCCCTCACACAGGGACAGCTGCCCCCTGCTGGGCCAGTGTGGTGGCCTCCCCCCTCACACAGGGACAGCTGCCCCCTGCTGGGCCAGTGTGGTGGCCTCCCCCCTCACACAGGGACAGCTGCCCCCTGCTGGGCCAGGGAGGCTTTCTGAAGGAGTCCCTGAGCTCACGGAGAGGCTAGGAACACCGTGGTCACGCCCAGTGGGTGGCAGCACCAGAACCTTGCCCACAGCGACACCTGGCGTGGCCTGCAGGACTGACCCACTCACCCCACGGGCCACGGTGCAGCAGGCCACCTGCGGGAGGCCAGGGAGTTCAGATGCCGCTGGGCCCGCCTTTGCCTGAACTGGAGATGGAGGCCCTGCGTGAGCCGGACTTGGCTGCGGGCTCGCTCGGGGGCCGTGCGTCCCTCAGGCTCAGAGTCAGGACGGCCGTGGGAGCTGGCAGGCAGGGAGCGTACTTCGCTACCGAGAGGAAGGGCAGCTTTCTCGGGCTTGCCGGCTGCCGTCTGTGCCAGGAGAGGTGGCCCAGGGAGGTGGGTCCTGGTGCCCTGTGGATGCAGGTGCCACCCTGCCTGCTGCCTTTACAGACCCCCGACTGAGGAGTGGGCTCCCCACGAGGCCTGTGACGCATGAGCTGGGCAGATGCCATGTTCTCTGAGAAGCATCTCTTTCCTTCACTTCCTCTCTTTGCTTTCTCCTCCCTCCTCTACACCTTCCGGTAAGAAAGCCCCGGGCTCTGTCGGGACCGGGACCTTCACGGTTCTCTAAGTCACTTTCTCAAACGTGGATGTGCACTTAATGCAGGCCCGGGGCGGGTCCTGCCTCCAACCCGCTCCCAGGGGGCGCTGGTCTGGGAGCCAGGCTTGGTTGGCATCACTGGGATTTAGGACAAACTCATCTGATAGAGGCACCCCCACAGCCCTGCTGCTCAGAGCCTTCGGTGGGTCCCTACTTCCTGAGCCCCCGGCCTGTCCTCACCCCTCGTTCCCCCTGCTCTGAAGACTGGGTGCAGCTGAAGCAGATCATGGGCACTGGGAGGGCAGCCAGCACATCTGGGTACCAACCTGCCCGGCGCTGGCCAAGCATGATTTACAGCCTTGCATGTCGCTGGTCTTATGTTACAAAGGGGCGTCCGCGGTTCCAAACGCTGAGCTGCCTGACCAAAGCCACACGGCCAGGAAGCGGGAGGCTGTGGGGTCCAGGGCTAAGCGCTGACTTGGTTTGTCACCATCTTTGAAGCCACAGCTGTTGCCCAGGTCGGTGACTTGGCATTAATGAGAGTTGAAAGTGACAAGACCCAGGTACTGTACTTGGGAGACTTCCGGGCACGTGGGCCAGTTGCAGAATGTTGTCACCTCGACATCTTCATCTGCACCACTCCCTACGATCGCCCTTGCAGGACTAGAGGTCAGATAGGACAGGGTAGTAGTGCTGGCGCCCAGCACGTGCTCCACAGAGGGAGTGGGTACCGTTGTCCCATAAACGGCACCGCCACCTGCTGCCTTGGAGGGAGCCTCGAAGGTTGGCCTCAGAGATGGTGGGAACTGTCAGAGAAGGCGGAACCCCGAGCGGCACTCGCAGACACGCGAGGCCCTTGCCGGGCAGCCGGCGGCTGGGTCTTTGCAGTGGGGAGGCCAGGGAGTTCAACTCCCTGCATCCTCCCCTCTGCCTCACCAGGCATCCTGCTGCACCCCTCGGTCCTCCCTGTCCAGCCCTCGGGTCCTGAGCATCTTTCCAGGACATGCGGTGGGGCTCACTGTCCTCCCAGCCCTTTTCCTAGGAGGGAGAATTCCTCCACTCGCATGGAGTCACCATCTACATTCTTCCACATCCAACTTGGTTTCCAGGTGGTTCTGACAACCATTTGATCCTCGTGGATCTCCGTTCCAAAGGCACAGATGGTGGTAGGGCTGAGAAGGTGCTAGAAGCCTGTTCTATTGCTTGCAACAAGAACACCTGCCCAGGTGAGAATCCTCCTCGGTCTTCTTTTTAAAAAATATATATATATATATTTTATTGATTTTTTTACAGAGAAGAAGGGAAAGAGATAGTTAGGAACATCATTTATCTGCCACTTGCACATCCCCTACTGGGAATATGCCCATAATCAAGGTACACGTCTTTGACTAGAATCGAACCTGGGACCCTTGAGTGCATAGACACTCTATCCACTAAGCCAAACCAGCTAGGGCCTCCTCGGTCTTCTCTTACACACTGTCTGTACCTCTGGGCTGTTGCAGCTGTGATAATGGGGGATACGTGTGCCGTGCCAGGTGGGAGCGCAGCAGCGGTTCCAGCCAGGACAGGGCGAGGGGGTGCTGGGAGACAGGCTGGCGCTCAGTGGGCTGTTAACAAGGATGGGTGACACAATCCGAACCCAGAGGCTGGCCTCACTGAGGAGCAAAGGCCACGTCATAGAAGTGACTTTCTACTGTGCCTGCCCCTCCTCTCCGCTGAGTCAGTGCCCTCCTCCCGCACGTGGGCACCTGCAGGCCTGTTCTTTGCCCAAGGGTCGCTTTCCCACACACGGTGGTCAGAGGAGAGTGTGAGTGCGGCCCCAGGACAGGCCTGTTTCTGTTGAAGGTGACAGAAGCGCCCTGCGGCCCAGTGGGCTGCGACTGGGGACCCCGGCACTGACGTCCCGAGGACTCCTGGAACCGGAGTTCCGGAAAGTAGCCCAGTTTATCCACAAAGGTAAGGATGCTTGTCTGGAAGTCCGACACCTCGACTGTGTATGGAGTCTCTGAGCACTGCGACCCAGCCACTGAGGGATGTTCTGGGTCAAGGCCGGGTGTGGGGGACAGGAAACAGTAGAAATCGCTTAGCAAACCATTGGTCTGGAACATCTGTAAACTGGTCCTGCCCACGGAGGGGTGCACACAGAATCACTCTGGGTGAACATTAATCCCTACGGCTGTCATCCCCCTAGCTGGGTCTTCGGGTCTCCTGGTCCCAGAGGACTCCTTTGTGTGTCACAGGGATAGAACTGACTCTGCAGATCCAGAAGGATGTTGGGGACAAGGCTGGCCTGAAGGAGTTCAAGGAGAAGCTGGCAGGGGATGAGCAGCACCGCAGGGCCATCCGAGCCCTCCGGGAGGAGGTGGAGAGCTTCGCGGCTCAGTTCCCTCTGCCCGGCCTGCCGGCCTAGAGCCACCGCCGCTGCACCTGCCCCGCGGCTCGGCAGGACCAAGGACCCAGTCCCCCTGAGAAGCACCACACAGGGCCCGGCAGCCTCTGGGTGCTCTCGAAAGGTTTCTTTGGGACTTTCCTCATGTTCTCTTCACAAATCAAAATCTGCTTAAGCCCCACTGTTAGTAATTCTGGGACAAATTATTACCGTGTTTCCCCGAAAATAAGACATCCTCCGAAAATAAGACCTACTTACAGGTTTCCTTCTGAGGGAAATATAAGGCATCCCCCGAAAATAAGGCCCCCCTAGGGTAAACATGAGAGATTTGATCCACTGATTCTGAAAGAAATGGAGTCACAAGAAATTCACCAGGAAATTCAGGAATTGGATTGCTATGATGTTCCAGAAGATGATGACATGATTGTCATTGAATAAATGAGTAAATTCTTGATACTGTAGGATTCACAGTTTGCTTTGTGTTGACAACTACCGTACTAGCCCGTACCATATACAGGTAACAAATTTCCTTTGTTTTCATTTAACAATAAATGTGTACCGTATTCTTCATGGAAAAATAAGACATCCCCTGAAAATAAGACCTAGCGCATCTTTGGGAGCAAAAATTAATATAAGATTCTGTCTTATTTTCAGGGCAACAGGGTAAGGAGTATAAATCTAAACCTCACTTTCTCACAGCTCTGTTACAGTTATTCTGGAAAAATGTAACCCTATTTAGCCTTCACTCCTTGAGACAGCTGGTAGGGCAGAGCTATTGGAACGATGCCAGGAGCTTCACTTACCGAGTTATTTGGCTTCCTCTGGCGCACTGTGGCAATGAAGAAGCACCTGCGCTCGTAGCTTATTCCCCGGTGCTGTGACCTTAGCACTGCAGAGGGAAGCCTGACCCCTCTGCTCTGAGCTTTGGCTCGATTCTCAGACATGCCCACAGGTGCCCCAGGCCATGGGTTCCGAGCAGCAGCCCAGCGCAGTGGCCTTCGCCCTCAGCTGGCCAGGTGGGCGAGCCTGGGACGCAGCCTCCTGCGGAGCGTCAGCCAGGGAACCTCGTCCTGCGAGAGAACGCCCTCCTGTGATCAATAAGCCAATGTCACCTTCCCAAAGAAACTTTATTTTTCACAAAGCTGAGTGCAAAACATAAATGACCATTTTTAATAAGCACAGTCAAATTTTTAACCACAGAATGTCTACAAGAATTACAGCTTTAAAAAATACAACCAATTTTTATATTTCAAAAAATAACTCAAAATAAATTAATTTCTTAAACAGTACACTTCTCGTACTGTTTGTTTGGCATTTACTCTGGTGGAACTCGGGCGCAGCCGTGCCTGGGGGCGGCTGTCCCCCGGGTCTCGGTCATACTCTTGCCACTGTGACGACTGTAGCTCGCGTGCTGGTCAGACTCCCACCATTCACAGACGTGGACAGAACATGCGGAAATAAAATACTCAAAAATAACAAACGAGATCTCAGACAATGCTCGTCACTGCAGCCTTCCAGGCGGCCTCTGGGCCGGCGTGTGCTGCCGCAGCGCCGGGCCGCCGGTGCCCAGGCCCGAGGCCCCGCTGGAAGGCCCCGGGGCCGGTGTCCGGTGTGTTGGGGTTGCTCCGGTGCAGTGGGGACAGCGGCGCAGCCTCTGTGAGTGCACGCAGTGCCCTCGTCTGTGCCTCCATCGGGAGCTTTACGCCGCTCAGAGGCTTGCTTTAGGGCTCTCTCCTCCCAGCTGGAGACGAAGGGACGCCTCCAAGACCCTCGGTAGCCCCGCAGCCAGGACTTCCCACCAGCAGCTGAGTCACTGCAAGTGCCCGTCCCCTCTCCTGCGTCCTCTTCCCACGTGTGTGACCACCTTACTAATGAGGCCATGTCAGGTCAGAGCTCACAGGGAGGGCTCAGGAGACCTGGTGTGCTCCAGCCACATCCGCTGAGCCCATTTTTGTTCCTAGCCAGAAGCCGAAACTTGATGCTTTTTCCTTATCTCTTCTAACAATTCCAGATTTTTTTTTTCTTTTTTCATTTTAACGGTATTGGAGAAAAATCAGAAAGCTGGCTGGCTTGATTCAAGGCATGAACCAAAACATTCTTCTGAAATGGGAGGAAGCATCTGATTGCCAGCTTGGGGAGTCAGTGCCTCTGAGTGCCACCACCTGTGCAGAGATGGCGGCGCAGCACCTGGCCTGCAGCGTCGGGCCAGGGAGGGACATGCGGTGACCAGTGCAATGCAAGGTCTTCAAGACCACTCTTGGCCTCCAGACACGTTACTGAACCGAAACAGGCCTGGCATTTGGGGTAGAAACTCGGCCTTCCCTGGATTTTGAAATGGGATTTGTTGTTTGTGGGGGGTTGAAGTCTATATACTTCGAATATAATAATAACCTGAAATAAAGTTAAAAGCTAAATGGTAAATGACAGGTGAGCTGCCATGCCCATTTCCAAATCTGGTGTAATGTGTATAACGTCAGCCATTGCAGTCAATCATGGAAAAGTCACAATTTCCAAACTTCAAAGATCCCACTAAAGGAGCAAGGTCCCTGGGGAAGGCAGGAGGTAGCAGCTCAGGCTGGCGCCCTGACGGCTCTGCTGTGCTCTAACAGCTCCTGGAGGTCACTACGTGCCTGCAGCCCAGGCAGCTGTTACCGGCACTGCGTGGACCAAGGGGAGGGAGGCAGGTACAGGAAGTGAAGAAAACCCCATTTCAGGGCCTGCCTTCAGGGGACTAAAGAATGAATAAGGGGCACTGATGTCCTTGATTGGGAAGTGTTTGTAGATGTCTCATTGACACTGGCCTATCCTACAGGACAGCATCAATCCCAATTCTTGGGAGAAATGACCAGTCTGTCGCATAGGGCTCCCCTCGTTACCACTTATCGCTGCATCTGGTAGGCCCCAGTTCAGCCTCAACTGCCTCTGCCCAAACTGCCCAGCCCATGTGCCACTTTCATCCCTTTGAAAAGAAACACACGGGGCTTCAGGCAATCCTTTGAAACCGTCACCCTGAAAAGTTAAATTTTAACCCAAATTTAAATCCTGGAGTTCACCCTCTGCTCAGTGAGGCCAAGGCGCTTCTCCTGCAGAACCAATCCCAGTGCGCTGCCCTGGGCTCGCCCGCGCTGTGGAGCAGCCTGTCCTGTTGACAGCCCTGGCCTCGCCCGAGTCCTCAGGGCCTTCAGGGCTGTCCCTGAGGCCAAGCTTCTGGGCAAACAGCCCCCAAAGCGGACGTCTGTGGCAGACGTGGCTGTCGGCTTCTGGAAGACCAAGTTCCACCTGCCTGCATCAGCTTCCGCAGAGCAGCGGTAACCACAGTCCGTGTCAGTGTGCTGGTGCCAGTGCTCACTTCCCATCTTGTCACTGGGACCCACAGACCTTTCTTTCCCGGAGACACAATGCACCAGCTCGTGTTCCTGGAGGCCTAAGCAGACAGCAATTCCACCCAGTGAGAAAACAAAGCAAAAAACAAAGGAACACGGGAGAGGGAGATAACAGGCAGGGAGCTCCCGGAGAGAAGAGGCTTCCTGTGCAGCCTTCCCGCTGCCAACACCTCACCCGTCAGAGCCACCGCAGCTCCTGGAGAGCCAGAGGCACAAGGAAACCAACCAGTGTAAGCACACCGCTCACCACCAAAGTGCTCAGTCACAGCCTCAGGAGCAAAATCACGTCCACAGCCAGCCACACGAGAAGCCTTCCTCTTTTCTGAGGAAGCCCCGCCTGACAGGAGTGGGGACTCTGACCAGAAACTGCTGGTGGGAGCCAGTGGGCCGCATCCTGGGCAGAGGGCCTGGGCGGGGAAGGACTGAAGGAGTGATGGACGCAAACCCTCCTTAGTCACAGTCTCTGCCTCTCCGGGACTCCAATGGTGTGCCCCACAGGTGGCAGGCAGACCAGGTCTCGGCACACGGGCACGGCCCCCAGATTCGCACACGTGCCCAGGAGCACCACTTGTCACTGGCTCAAGGTGGTTTTATCACAACTTTGTGGGAACAAATTAAAAAGCACTAATACCAGAGTTCTCCCTATTTAGGGGGGAAACAGCTTTAAAAAAAAAAAAAAGGTATAAAATTCTCAAGGTTGCAAGAAACCCTCCACCTACATAAACTGGAAGAAGCAAGTGGGAACTGAAAGCAGCTCAGGGAGGTTGTGGTGGGTGGACTTGGGCACATCTCCCGAGAAGGTGGGAGAGTCATGGGCAGAAGAGCTGCCGAGAAGTGCCAAGGCAGGCAGGTCCATGGAGACAGCCGCACAGACAGCTGTCCTCTTTCCTGGAGGAAGTCCTGGCCCCGAATCAAACCATCTGGGCTGCCGCCCACACCAGCCAGTTGCACAGAACTCTGCTGCCCCGTGCTGAGCCCCCGCGAGAGGTAGTGAAGTGGTTGCGAGGGCTTGCTTTGGGTGAGAGAACAGCGCTGGCTTACTCTGGCCAAAAATACTGCTGGGTCAGACCCCAGCGAGCCTTCATGGACCCTCCACCTCAAAGAGCAGTTCCCACTGACAACTGGGGACCAGGGACACCACTCCCTCTGCTGGCCTGAGGGAGCGATGTGCAGGGTGAGAGTGAGGGTGGGACAGGGAGCTGCTCGCTCTCCCTGCAGCGCTGGGCTGACACTCGCCACCTCCCAGCGGGGCAGAGCCTTCTCCCCCCCCTCGCTCAGGGCCTCCCCAGGATGACAGGCCCTAGGAGGCCACTCAGTTGGGATTTGAATGAGACAATGGATATTCCACCCTCTTGTTTTCCACAAAATCATTCCAGTTAACAAGTTGTTTCACTTGATTTTGCCACTCAAGTGTTCAGTGAGGATGAGCGTGGCCACATGTTCTTCCCATCATGGCTTTGCCTTCCTGCCCCTCACCCGACCCCTCCGAGGCTTTCCTCTGCCCTGGCGACCAGTCCTTGGGAAGCCAGCGTTCCCTCCAGGTCCTGCCTTACCAGGGAGACGAGAGCTGTTACTGTCCTGGGTGCTTTCCGAGAGCCAGGCTCCTCCTGGCCAAGTCCCACTTGCAAGTTGCCCGAGCCACCTTGGTTTCCTTCCCACTTGACACCAGAAGTCTAAACCACTCCGAGGACTGCTTGGCAATGTCATGTCCACCCTTCTCTTCCCTGTGCCCCGAGTCACAGTGGCAGGATCTGACCTCAGATTTTGTACAAAAAACTGGGGACATAGTCAAACCTGAGCATGGGCTGGCTGGTCCCGGGAGACTCCTGCATATAGTGCAGCTTCAGCAGCTCAGCCAGGTACTGGACCACCTTGGCATCTTCATTCACTAGCCCCAGATTCAGCTTCAGAAAGCTGGCCTGCCGGCTGGCAACCAACCCCTCTACCTCTTTGCTGTGGGCAGGCAGGTGCAGGTGGTGGCAGAAGGTGTAGAGGAAGGCCTTGGAGCAGAGCTGGGTGAGCATGCTCTGGACGTGCAGGTAGTAGGTGCTGCCCCGCTTGATTTGAGTACGGTGGTCTGCCAGCCGGGGCACCAGGGTGCCTCTGTAAAGGGGGCAGCGGAGGGTTTTGCTGTCCAGGTCCAGGATGCTTGCGTAGCGGCTGTAGCGGCTCAGAACGTGCAGGGTGCTGGCACTGGCAGGGGATGCCACTCTGAAACACATAGGCCAAGGTCAGGAGGAAGGGCAAGGCCAGGAAGATGGAAGCAAACACTTGGGAGTGGGGCTTCCTGTCCCCAGGCCACTCCCACCGGCCAGCACTCACTGGCTTTCTGGAAGGCAAACCTGCTCATCCTCGTCTTGTAAGGGCTCCTCACCCCCTCATGAAGCTCCAATGCCTTGGCAAGGCCAACAAGTTCCCGTATGACCTGCTGCCTGCTGACCCGAGCTACATCTGCTCCTAACCCAGACTTAGCCATGCCAAGCTTCCCCTGGGGCCTCAGAGTCAGCCTGTCTGCTCTGCCTGGATACCCTCCCTCCCTTCTGGGCATGGCTTATGCCAATGCCAACTTCTCCAGCCTTCCCTGATCCCCTCCTCTGCTTTTAGCTATGACCTTGGTCATGTTCCTCAACCTGAGACTTATTTGTAAGACAGAGATAATAGTTCCTCTCTCTTGGGGTCACTGGAGACAAAGAGTTGTGCTCAGAATGCCTGACCCTGGCCACTGTGTGAGAGCCGTCTTCTTGTCCTGCCCACAGACCCAGGGCTGTCCCTGATTCGGCCTCTTGCCCCACTGCCTTGCACATCAGGGCTAGGCAGGGTTTGCTCAGTGAGGGAAGGAAATCGGAGCGGTCAGTCTTAGTAAGCAGCTCCTTAAAACTCTCCTTTACATCCCTTTTTCCCTGTTGTCTGGCAGGTCAGCAAATGGCTGGCCAGGTTTCGCAGACTGACAGACTCTGGAATTTAGGGATTGTACTGGATCCAAGATGGTGTGTAAAATGGACTGACAGTCACTTGGGACCAATTGTGGGTAATCTCACAAATTTTCCTTCCTAGATGTTGTCATCTTGTATAATTAACAATCACCTACTGAGCATCTGTTATTTCCAGGTAGTGACCCAGGGCAGAGCAGGTGGCGATGAGCCTGCTTTGGTTGGAAAGAAAAGCCAAGCACACCGAGTGAAGGGGGATGTGTCTCAGTCTCCACAGGAGAGACCTCGGGCCAGAGGGTTCTGGAGGAATGGCCTTGGGACTGGGCCTTGAAATGGAGGCGGGCCTTGGGACCTGTGGAAAGCATCCAGACCAAAGATGGCCAAGGGGCCAGGCCATGAGCCAAACACCTCCTCCGGCTCGGCACCACCAGCCCACCCAGGCACTGCTGCTGCACAGCCAGGTCTCACCTCATCTTCTGGGCCCTCCATCCAGCACCCATCTCGGTCATACTGGCCCCAGGCTCAGCCTCTCCCAGGAAAGCTGACATCCCCACCCAGGCCCACCTATGGCAGCACCACTTCTTTTCAAAGATGCTGCTCCTTCTAACTCTTCCTCCACTTCTGCTTCTCTCAAAACTCCTTATCAGGAGGCCAGGCAACATGGGAAGAAGTCAGTTCCAGGCCTGTCCCTCGGCGGCACAGCACCGGCACCCGAGCGCCTCCCACTCCACTTCCCTCACCGGTGTGGTTCTCTATGGTCTGTCCCAAAGCCAGGGAGGCCCAGAGGGGCCATCACTTGCCCAAGATCTCCTGTTACAAAGTGGCTGAGCCAGGACTCAACTCAGGGCCCCGAGCACTGTTTCCCTCCAGAACGAAGTGCTTTTCACGAGGTCCAGGGCTTGTTACTACTGCCTACTAACAGTACAATAACCTCTGCTTCTGACTTTAAGTAATGGGAGACTAATTTGATTGTGTCCATATCCTGTATCCACTCTGCAGACAGTGAGGGCCTACCTTAGAAGGAAAATAAAATCAAACCGCCAATGACACTGGCTGCTCTGGGGTGAGTCCTTAAGAACAGTTCATCATCTGAGCTGTTTTAGCTGGAGGCAAAGCTCCTGAGCCACACAACTGTAATTCCAGATTAACTTAGCACACGGGGCCAACCCCTCCACAGCTGACCACGCAGACACCTCTTCTACTCCTGCTCTTTAATGCTGACCCTCAGCGGGGTCTCAATCCACCTGTTTCAACGCTGGGTCTGCCTGTGGGGCTGACTCACCATCCATCTACAACTCCAAGCACTCTGAGGGCTGCCAAGCACGACACTAGGGCTGTTGACACATCTCAGATGTGCCTGCCTCCGGCTCCACCTGAGGACTACTCTAAGCCCCGTATACAGACAGGATCAACAAGTTTTGTTCAGGGAATGAGTGACATGTCTGGTCCAAATTCACACAGCTAATAATGTTGACACCAGGATCTGAGCTCGGAACACACTCTGCCTTCCTCTAACAGCACGACTCCATGGGTTTTCATCTCTTGATACTTCCACACTCTATTGTTCACCTCTCAGAATTATTCTGGGTGATTTGTAGCAAATCTAGGCCCCAATCCATTTCTAGTCCCTCAGTTGATCATCCAGTGACAAGTCCCCTCGGGAACAAGACCTCCAGCCCATCTGAGCAGGACCCTGGAGGCAGGTGCTCCCATTCCCAGCGGGTGCGCACTCAGGTCCGCAGGAGAGCTTCACAGAGGTAATCATTTCCCACTTGGGATTCTTGAAAAGAACTCAACGGCCACTTCCGACAGGACTCTCACTTTCGCCAGGACTCTCACTTTCGCCGAGGGCTGCTTCAAGGCTCAGAAGTCTGGCAGTGTGGGCCACACTCAGGCCCTGGCCTGCCTTCCTATTCAGGATGGGACAGACCATAGGAAACTACAGAAGGCTCACAGACCAGATGTGATGCGCCTTCCGACCTCTGCAATCACAAGGCAAGCCTCCGCTCAAGCTGACGGCGGTTGACAGAGCTGGGGCTAACGTGAGTGTTGCCTGGGAAGGACATGCTCGCCCTGACACAGTTGCCGGCTCACCTTATAATTCTGGCACTGGGCACAGTAGCTGGCACACGGCCCTCAATAAGTGCTTGGCAAATGGTATTCAGCGATCCAACCCTTTTCTTTTCTCAGGAGGAAACAAAGCCTTGAAAGGAGCAATTTGCCCAGGTGCCCACTGTGGATGGACAGTGAGAGGGACCCCACAGGACTCAGACCACCTCACACCACCTCCACTCCAGGGTGCCAAACACACTGCCCATTGCCACCTACCCTCTCCTGCCCCACAGAAACATCGTTAACATATGACAGCAGGATTTCCAATGCAGCCCAACCTGGGCCTGAGTCCTTCCCAGCAGAGCACTTCAATCAGGCACGCAGTAGAATGAAGTTGATGTAAGAAATGAACCTCTTGCCCTAACCAGTTTGGCTCGGTGGATAGAGCGTCGGCTTGCGAAATGAAGGGTCCCAGGTTTGATTCCGGTCAAGGACATGCACCTTGGTTGCGGGCACATCCCCAGTAGGGGTGTGCAGGAGGCAGGTGATGGATGTTTCTAACTCTCTATCCCTCTCCCTTTCTCTCTGTAAAAAAAAAAAAAAAAAAAAAATCAATAAAGTATATATTTAAAAAAATAAAAATAAATGAACCTCTTTTGCCATTCTGGCACATTCTAAGGAGGGAGTTTAAGGGAAAGCCTCCAGAAAGGGCAAAACCATCTTAGGCCTGGTCCTTAATAAGCCAGCTGATGTTGACAGATTGATATGTTTTAGATGCTCCATCTTTTGAAGTAAAAATGACCAAATTGAAGGGTTAGGGTGAAAAGCTTGAGTCGGAGAACAGAAGGTGTGTGAGTGTGTATGAGGGAGCATATGGGGAATATCAGCTCATCATTCCACCAAGAACAGTAGCAAAACACAATCTCTGAAAGCCCTTTCCTTTTTGGGACAGAAGGGTTAATCCAAAGATCACAGAGGTGCCACCAGCAGAGGGTGAGGATGCTGGGAGGCAAGACAAAGCCTGCCAGGGCAGTCAGTGCCATCATCTAACCTAGTGACCCTCAGATTCTGCATCTGTAAGCAAAGCTTTTATTTTATTTATTTCTTTTAAAAATATATTTTATTGATGTTTTACAGAGAGGAAGGGAGAGAGATAGAGAGCTAGAAACATCCATGAGAGAGAAACACCAACCAGCTGCCTCCTGCACACCCCCTACCGGGGATGTGCCCGCAACCAATGTACATGCCCTTGACCGGAATCGAACCTGGGACCTTTCAGTCCCCAGACCGACGCTCTACCACTGAGCCAAACCGGCTTCGGCTGTAAGGAAAGCTTTTAATGGTTTCCTATGATGCCCACGGAATGAGCTTATCCACGTGTCACAGGCACATCACACCACGTCCCATGATGTCACTCTTCCCAACAAGGGCAAGTTCACCCTCCAGGTCATTCAGAGACCACAGGCCTTCTCCAGTCTCCCTTCCTCCTTCAGATCTGCCACTAAATTACGCTGTTTTCTTAGAACACACAAAACACCTGTTATCTCTCTGTGTGGCAAGGCCCCGGTCACCGTCTGCCCTCTCTCCTAAACTACCAAGTTTTCCAGAGCAATGGCCTTGCTCGGGTACCTCCAGCTGATGTCGCAGCACCCGCCAGAATGGCTGTAGGTCCTCAACAAGCCAAGTCATGACATGGAAGCAGTATTTGCTTGAATCCCACCATGATGACTCTGAGGAAAGCCTAATGCAGCAAGGGGTTAGCTAAGTCCAGGTGACTTCATAAGAAGTGTGGACACAAGGAGACTCGGGATGGTGACTCACTGGTATTAGGAACCCATGTAAAGGGGAAGTCAGAAAATTAGAACCAGCGGTGGCTGACTGCCGTATGGAAATGTCTGCTCTTCCCATGTGTCAGCAGGGGCTCTGCTGATCACCTTGCTCAAAGCCTGTTTTACAGATGAGCAGAGCAGGGTGGAGAGAAGGGACTGAGGACACTGAACACAGTGCATACACTGAAGGAGTCAGACATTTGTCAAGCAGTATTTGGAAAAACAAAAAGAACCTATTAAAGCACAAGGAAATGAAATAGAAAGCATTCAGAGGGAGAATAAATTGGCTTTTGCATTTCCTTATTAAGACAGCCTTCAAATGCAAACAGGACAGTGGAGTGAAAGCCACTGGAGCCCTCTGATGTCCCTCTCAGCAGCCAGTGATGGCTGCCCTCCTGTTATTACCACAACCCTTTCTCAGATGCAGATCTCGTTAGTCATTTACACCACAGTGTGAGTCTGAGGATAAACAAGGACCTGAGATCTAGAAGACCAGTCTTTCCCAGGCCAACTGAATAAGAACCTCTGGAAGTGGAGCCCAGGAACTGTGATTTTTAAAATAGTCCCAAAAGCCCGGCCAGTGTGGCTCAGTGGTTGAGCATCAATCTATGAACCAGAGGTCATGGTTCAATTCCCAGTCTGCACACATGTCCAGTTTGCAGGCATGATCCCAGTGGGGTCATGCGGGAGGCAGCCAATTGAGATTCTCACTGCTGATGTCTCTCTCCCCTTCTCCCTTCCTCTCTGAAATCAACAAAAACATGTCTTTAAAATAAATAAAATGAAATTCTCCCATAATTCTTGCACAACTGGGTGCAATCCAGGACTGGCAACCACTTAGGAACTACAATCCCTTCATGGGACTAATAAAAAAGGAAACAGAAGACCAGAGGGGAATGAGCTGTCAAAAGCAATGGTGAGTTAGTGCTGGCCCAGACTGGAAGCCAGGCCTCCCGATTCTGGGTCCACCACACCAACTTTTAGCCTCACCCAGAGGCATGTGCGTTTGAAGCCTCATCTCTAACCGGACAGGTTCCTTCCCCACTACCTGTAACAATTACCTCTGCAGGCCAATAAGCTTCCACTTCTGAAAATCCGTAATGTGCAAGGGGGAGGAGGCCCAGTGCTTCACGGGTTTGGCATAGCAGCTGTAGTTGGGGACGAAGATGGACAATGCTGTCACAAGCTTCCTGACTATGGCCTCGTCCTCCCCCAGGACCACAAGCGTCCTCCCACTGAGCAGGGAGTAGATGGCTGGGTGGGCAAAGGGGTACTGGCGGATGAATTTTAAGGCATTCTGTCCGGCCCTCTTTTTATGCCTCTCAAAAGAGGGGCCAGTGAGTTGAGCAGATGAGGGAGTCCTGTCCAAGCTGGTGGAGGCTACACTGCTCACATAGCTGGTGGTGTCCGAGTAGTTGTCCAGGCTGATCTTACTGATATCCCTGCTAGCCAGCAGCTGGCCTGGGTCCAGCTCATAGGCAAGGAAGCCTTCAGAACTGTTGTCTCGGGAAGAAGGGCTGGCGTTTTCCACTGCAAAGTCCACACAGAACCCCGGGTCCTTCTGCCTGTAGCGTTGTGGTGGGACGCTCACTACTCCATCCCCGTCAGAGAGTGCGTGGACTGGAGTGGTGAGTGGCACCAGCAGACTGTCGCTCTCCTTCCCAGTGCAGCAGGAGTCTGCTTGTGACGAAGTGTTTTCTAAACTGCCCTCCTCTGGCTCCCCCAGCTTGGTCAGGCTGATGCTTGCCTGGAAGTGGATGGCTCCCTCATTGTCATCTGCATACAATTCTTCTTCATTAATAGCACTTGGGTAGCTGGCCTTAAAGTCATCAGGGATGAGGGCCTCAGAGGGGCAGGTGCTGAGGACTTCAATACTGTCCTCGCTGATGGTCCTATGGCTGGCTGCTTTGCTCCGGATCACCTGGGGGCTCAGTGGCACCATGAGGCTGGCCTGACTGTCGGACTTCGACAGCACAGTGGTGGACTTCTCCGTGCCCAGAACCTCAATGCTTTCACCACTGCTGACACTCCCTTTCATATCCATATCCAAGTAGTCTAAGTTCCCCTGGAGATCAAAACTGCTCATTTCTGCCACCTCCACTTCCTTACAGTCCTCACCGCCAAACTCCTGCTCCATCTTGATCACCACAGATTCCACACTGGACTTGTAAGAGCCAACACTAATTAATACTTGAGGAATCGGGCATTCTTCTAGAGATCTGGAAGGTGGCCTGTCTTGACTGGGCTTAGAGGGTATGCTTTCTTGTTTCTCTACCATCCTATCATCATCTGCAAAGTCTTCAAAGAGAAAGTTTGTTATGTGCTGTTGCCTTAGTAGTGCTCTGTCAATCTGGCTAGTCAAGAGATAGCACAGGTCTCCTCTGAACATGTGCTCAATGTGGCTGAGCTGAGCCAGGGTCTTGGTGAAATACTCAGTGTCACAGAGCTCTTCCAAGGTCTTCAACTTCTTGTCAAAACACTTGGTGGACTTTGCTTTGATGAGTTTTGGGATGTAGGCAGGTCTGCAGGTGTAAAGGTCTGTGTCAGCATACTCATCAAGGTTAGAAGTAGTGGATGCCTGGTCAGGCTGATCCTGAGCATGGTCCACCTCCCCGGAACACAAATCAGACCCCTTCAACTTCCGATGAGGGTATGAGCGGATCTGCTTCAGGAGGTCTTGATGTTCAATGATGGATTTCTCTACACTAGCCAGTTCATTGGCTTTCTCGATTGCCTGAGATGAGTAAAAGCCCTTGTCATTGGCTTTCTTCTGGACCTCCGTTTCAGTGTGCAGCACTGTCCTAGTGTAATCCAAGTCTTTCAGCTTTTTCTCAAGTTCCACAGCAAAGGCCTTCCTGTTGCCCGACTTCAAGTACTCTGAAGCTTTGGAAAATTCAGCTGACAGCTCCTGGAACTGCTGCATGATTTTGTGCTGGTCTGCTGAGATATACGCCATGCAAAAGGGCCTCACAAAGCCACGGGCCTCCAGGTCATACAGCGTGAGGTGGTGCACGTAAGCAAAGGCTCCCTCTTTGGAGTCTCCCAGCACCACCTTGGAGTCCTCCACGAAGTTCAGCTTGGGATAGGCAGAACCAGGAGGATGGCCCACGAAGGAAGCCTGGTAATCCACAGACATGATCCGTAAGGAGAAGTAATTGAGATCAAAAGTACCGAAAACTTTGGTATCATTGGGGATAGTCAGCAAGGGCTGGGGTCCCACCTGCTCCGAGAACTCGGAAATGAGGATGAAGTCCCGAGAGAACTTGGCTCCGGACAGTTTGGACCATGGGTTAGCTCCCTGGCTTGTGAAGGGGAAGAGCGGCACCGAGTACTCTTCTGGCAGGGCCGGCTCATTGTAGGGCTCCTCCTCATACTCGTCCTCTTTGGTGAAGGCCACCACGTCAGGGGCGCTGATCATATTTCCAGGTATGCAGAGAGAACATTGAGAGGAAGTGAGAAAGAACGCTGGGGTAATCAACGCGGGGAAGCCAGGCCTCTGCAAGAGGAAGCAAAGTCTTCGTTGCCTTCGCTGAGCCCTTGGGGGGACTTGCCTGCCTCTCACACACCCGAGAACTCAAACTCCCGCAGCCCCTAGGAGGCGTATCCCCTCCCGGGCCCTCCGGGCCTCATGAACTCCGCAGGTCCCGAAGTCAGGGAGGCCGGCCGTCCTCCTCCCCTGGCAAGCGCGGCCGGCGCAGAGCACCTGCAGCGAGGTCACCGGGACTTCCCCGAACCCACTGGTGACAGCAACAGCCCCGAGCCTGACCTGGTACCTAACGTGGGCTACAGGCTGCCGCATGGACCAGTCAAGCGTCTGTCGCCCCCACGACCCGAGGGCAGAAACGGTCCCCGCTCCTTGGACGCCACAACCCAAAGACAGCTACAGCGACGCCGCCATCTTGGTATCACATGACTCGCGGTATCGGCGCCGAGTGACCCGGAAACGTTCGCGGAGTTTTCCGAGCCAGAGCGAAAAAGGTTGTGACTGAGCGGCTCGGGGCGGGGCTGTGGAGCAAGGACCAATCGATTAACTAGCACTGTCAGGAAAGAAAGGAAATGATGCGGGGAAGCGGAAATGTGTTAGGACCAGGGGCCCGGGAGCGCGAGGCGGTGTGGGAGTTGTAGTTCGCGGGGCTGTGGACTCGCGCCGGGCGGAAGTGGCTGGAGAAGGCGGGCGGAAGCGGCCGCGGCGGGTGCAGAGGTGAAGACCCAGTTGGCGGCAGCCCCGAAGCCGGTGGGCGTGTGGGAGGAGACCGCGCCGCGGCCCAGCGCTGGCGGCTCTCGTAGGCTCCGGTTCCCGTAGGGTGGGCGCGGGGTGACCCTCACCTCTGTGTTCCCCAGCATGTGCGGGTACCCGGGATGATCTTCCCCGTCTCCCGCTGCGCGCTCCGGTGTCTGCATCGGCCCGGGGGCCGGACCTTCCCCACCTCCGCCATGGAGGTGGCCTTCCGAGGCGTGCGGAAAGTCCTCTGTGTGGCGGAGAAAAACGACGCGGCCAAGGGGATCGCCGACCTGCTGTCCAGGGGTCGCATGAGGCGGGTAAGTGGGCGCATTTCCGATCAGCGGTACTTGGGGCCCCGGGAAGCGGGACGTCTTGGTGGGTACGGGAAATAGGGATGAAGGCGACTTCTCTCCCACCTGTGGGACTTCTGTCTCCCCGAGACCATTGCAGTGGCCTCCTGTCTTCTCTTAGGACTGATGGGCATTTAAAAATGTAGTTCAGAGGTTTCACTCATCTGCTTTAAAGCCTTGGATCTTCCTTGCCAACAGCAGTGGTTGCCAAACTTGTCTGATCCTCAAAACCACTGGGGCAGTGGCTCTTCGGTGGACCTAGGGTGAGACTAGGCCGGGTGATCTGTGTTTCAACATTTTTCCCTCCGGATTCTAAAACTCGGTTAAGTTGGGAAGCACTGCCCAAACTCCTTTAACCTGGCAGTCACGTCCTGCCCGATCGTCCCCAGGTAGCCTCGCCCTCCTATTTTCTGCCATTCCCTCTGCGCAGTGCAGCGCCGCTGACTTGACTCTAAGTGTGTATTGACAGGGCAACATTATGTAAGGTTTGGGGATTAGAGGCAGATGGCAGCCCTCAACCCGTGGTCCTTAGTGCCAATTCAACAGGAATTCCCAATTTGGGGTCACAGTGAAGAAGGAAACTATTCAGGGCAGAACATCAGAGAGGTGACATCCCATCCGTGTTTCAGTTTCAGCTCCAGCTGGGAAACTGTCTTAGGTGGGGAGGGGAAGGGTGCTCTCAGCGCCAGTGGGCAGCTGGCTCATGTTGCCAGAGTCCCAACTCCAGTCCCTGTCTAGTCCTTCCCCAAGCAAATCTTCGCGCCGACTCTCCCTCAGGTTGATTGGTCCAAAAGACACGATGATTGGTCAGAATGGGCTTCTCTGATTGGTTCGTGGAGAAGCTGATGAGGCTGTGGCAACACTGCTCCGATTGGATGGGGAAAGCCTCATTCCCATTGGTTGAAATATTGATCCAGAAACTCCTTAGTAAGGGCCATCTTAGGCGAGATAACAGTGTTCGCAGGCAGTTCAGTGCAGGCTTCTCTGTGAAGTGCAAATTGCGTAAGAGGCCCCTGTGAAGAAATGGCTGCTGGGCTCTGTTTTTTGTTGTTGTTTTTTTTTTGTGTGTGTGTGTGTGGGGGGGTGTTAATTAGAGAGAGGGAAACTTCCATTGGCTGCCTCATGCACGCCCCCTTCTGGGGATGGACCTGTTTGTGACCTGTCGGGAATGGTACCAGTGACCTTTGGTGCATGGGATGATGCCCAACCAACTGAGCCACACTGGCCAGGGCTGTTTGTTTTTAAATTTGAGCCCAGTTAGCCACGAGGAGGCCTTCCTAGTAGGTATCTTCTTTCTCAGGATTCACACTGGCATTCAAACTGGTTCTTAGAGAGAGGCAAGTAAGGGGTAAGATGTTTCTAGACACTCTGGGGGCACAAAGGGAGGGGACTGTGAGAAAGGGTTTGAAAGGGAGTTGACAGGAAGGTCTTAAGAACTATTCAGGAGCCCTGACCTGTTTGGCTCAGTGGATAGAGCGTGGGCCTGTGGACTGAAAACTCCCAGGTTCCATTCCGGTCAAGGGCATGTATCTTGGTTGCAGGCACATCCCCAATAGGGGGTGTGCAAGAGGCAACTGACTGACGTTTCTCTCTCATCGATGTTTCTAACTCTCTATTCCTCTCCCTTCCTCTCTAGAAATAAATAAATAAATAAATAAATAAATAAATAAATAAATAAACTATATATTTAAAAGAAAAAGAAAATCTCCCAATAACAAAAGTGGATTGTTGCCCTGGCTGGTTTGGCTCAATGGATAGTGTCAGCCTGTGGACTGAACAGTCCCAGGTTGGATTCCGGCCATAGAGCACAGGCCTGGGTTGCAGGCTTCATCCCCAGTGTGGGGCATTCAGTAGCCAGCCAATAAATTATTCTCTCTCATCATTGATGTTTCTATCTCTCTCTCCCTCTCCCTTCCTCTCTAAAATCAATAAAATATGTTTTTAAAAAAGAGTGGATCCTTGCTGAAACTGGTTTGGCCCAGTGGATAGAGCGTCGGTCTGCGGACTGAAAGGTCCCGGGTTCGATTCCGGTCAAGGGCATGTACATTGGTTGTGGGCATATCCCCGGTAGGGGGTGTGCAGGAGGCAGCTGGTCGATGTTTCTCTCTCATTGATGTTTCTAGCTCTCTATCCCTCTCTCCTCCTCTCTGTAAAAAATCAATAAAATATATTTAAAAAAAAAAAAAAGAAAAGAAAATGGCCCGTCTACACCTAACTCACTCACTTCTGTATCTTTCAGGGCTCTGTTAAATGCCTCTTCTTCAAGAACTTTACTCAGCTTCCTCCCCCTGCAGCAGGTGAGGGACACCACCCAGTAATCATTGCTAATGATCCACAGGTCCTTGAGGACTTTCCTATAGTTTTCATAGTTTTATCTTTACATTCAGGAGAAAATGTTTTAAATAAAATTTTAAAAATGTGTTTTTATTGATTTGAGAGAGGAAGAGAGGCATCAGTTGCCTCCTGCATGCCCTGTACGAAGGTTCCAGCCTGCAATCCAGGCATGTGCCCTCACCCAGCATCAAACTGGCCACCTCTGGGTGCACAGACTGACTGAGCCACACGGGCCAGCGCAGAAGGAGGAACCTTAAATGGATCCTGTGCATTCGGAGGCAGCGTGTGATCAGCGTGCTCAGGGAAGGTGTGGGGGGCACTGGGAAGGCGTCACAGAAGCTACACTCTCGGTCTGTCAACGAGGGTTCCTTTCTCTGGGCTCCAAACGCCACTGTCATCTGGGAGCAGCCTAAGCATCTGAGAACTTCACCCCCGAGTGTGCTACCCTCGGGATTACAGGGAGGAAAGTTTGAAATAGCAGGAAAACATTTTACATCCTCAGGACGACCCGTTGGTAAGGAAGGCTTCCCGGAAAGCCCTGCACTGGGGTCACACATGCTGTTGGGTGCATCGCTTTCTGGAGAGCCCAGGGCAGAGGTTTGAGACGCTGTTCCAGACTCGAGGGCCGTTGGTGTGCACCTCAGCCACTGCGCTGGACTGCGCAAGGCCGAGTGGCAGAGCAGCCGGGACTTCCGCCTTGGTATGTGTCAGGGTCCGTATAAGATTTTGTTTGAGAAGACTTCAGTGCTTCCTTAAAAAGAATTAGGGGGAAGGAAATAGAAACCATTGATTAAGCCGTTTTTATTCTGTATTACCAGTCTCCTCTTATCCGAGGTTTCACTTTTCATGATTTGTTACGTGGTCAACCACGCTCTGAACATATTAAATGGAAAGTTCCAGAAGTAAACCAGTTGTAAGGTTTAAATTGTGTGCCGTCCTGAGTAGTATGATGAACTCTTGTGCTGTTCCACTTTGTCCCGTGTGGAAACCCTTCCGGCTGTCCACGCTGTGTACCTGCCTGCCACCCCCAGGCGCTTAGCAGGTGTCAGTTACAGCTGGCTGTGTGGGGTCGCAGTGCCTGTGTGCAGGGAGCCTTGTTCTGCTTGATGATGTATTGAATACTGTATTCTTACAATAAACTAAGGAAAAGACAATGCTATTAAGCACAACAGCTGGCAATCAGATGTGCCAAAGGGAATCCATCGATGCTTCCTTAAGTGAAACGGTGTGTGATAAAAACAAGCAAACCGGTAATGTAGGGTGCAGTAGTGCTGAGGATTCAGGGACCTACTGGGGGTCTTATTTCTGAGGATAAGGGGGACCACTGTACTGAAAAGGCTTAAGAGGGCGTCTCTTTCCTTGGCAACATCAGAGCACTGAACTCTTTTTTTTTTTTTTTTTAGAATTGAGCTGTTAAGTATCAGATAAATCCCTCTTTAAATTTGCCATTATGCCCTGGCCGGTGTGGCTCAGTTGGCTGGGTCTTGTCCTGTGCACCAAAGGCTTGCCGGGTCTACTCCCGGCCAGGGCACATGCCCAGGTTTCAGGCTCAATCCCTGGTAGGGGGTGTGCAGGAAGCAGCCAGTCAGTGTTTTTCTTTTATTGACGTTTCTCTCTTAAAAATCAATTTAAAAATCTTAAAAATAATAATAATAAATTTGCCTTTATGCCTCAAAGAACCTCATTCAATGTTCCACCCAGAAAAATTGTATTTGTGAGGCTGAGGGAGAATCTTGTCCATACGATTTCTCTTGGCCCATGAATGGAAGTGTCCCCAGTTCCCATTTTGCCTTTCTCTTGTCTTCTGCCCGGTGTTGGTGTGAAACTCACATGCACAAATACAGCTGACCCTTTATGGGTTTGAACTGCACGGGTTCAAGTGTGCATGGATTTTTTTCAATAAATATGTACAGCACTGTAAATGTATTTTCCTTACGATTTTCTTAATAGCATTTTCTTTTCCTTAGTTTATTGTAAGAATACAGTATTCAATACATATTACAGCCGAAACCAGTTTGGCTCAAAGGATAGAGCGACGGCTTGGGGACTGAAGGGTCCTGGGTTCGATTCCGGTCAAGGGCATGTACCTTGGTTGTGGGCACATCC